TTACATTACACCCCTAAGTACTTATTTATAAGTGGAAGTTTGTACCTTTTGACTGCCTTCATACAATTCCCACCCACTACACCCAACCCCCGCTTCTGGTAACCATAATCTGATCTCTTTTTCTATGAGTTTGTGTATTTGTTTTTTGAAGTACAATTGACCTACAACACTATGTCGTTCCTAATGCATAACATAGTGATTTGATATTTCTATACATTTAGAAATGATCACCACTGGGAGACTCTTAATAAATACTTTTGCTTATTGACTGATGCGAGCAGGCAAAATCACTTCAACTCTCCTCAAATTTCCTTCCATTGAACCTTGCAGTAGAAGATGAGGATGTGAAACGAAAGAGTAAAAGAGGGAAACATTTTTATGCAGGGGTAAATAAAAAGGGCTATTTGGGTGGTTTGAACCTAATAAAAGGAAGGGAAAATTAGTAGTGATAATAATGATAATGAAAATAATAATGAAAGGTAATGTCTATATAGGTTATAATGTATTTTTCATATTCACTATACTGCTTATGATTAAAACCAACCCGAATCATGGGAACCCCACTTGTTTTCCCCGTAATTCAAGAACTGACTCTCCTTTTGAAAGATTTTTTGGTTAGAGGATCAAAATAACATTGGTTTTTGACTGCCCCTTGATTCAGATTCTTATGTCCTGATCTCTGTAAGATCTTGGCTAAATCCGTTTATTGCCTTTTCATTATCACCCCGTCTCATCTTACCTCCCCCCAGCTCTTCTCAGTATCTCAGTGAATGGCTCCCCATCTGCTGACGGGGTTGCCCAACCCAGAAACCTTGGAATCCAATCATCCTTGGCTCCGCCCCACCAGTAAAATTCTATCTCCAAAGTACTATTAGACTCTACCTAGTTCTCTGCACTGTCATTTGTGAATGCCTTGGTTCAGGCCACACTCTCTTTCCCTGAGATTTGATGGGCTCCTAACTGGCCTGCCCACTGTTAGTTTTGTTTTTGCCTCAGTTTATTCTCCACACTGACGAAAGAGTGGTCTTTCCAAACAGAAATTTGATCCTGTTGCCTTCAGGCTTAATACTCTTTAATGGGACCCTCTTATCCACAGGGTTTTAAAAGGCCTTTTACTTCTTTCCACCGCAATTCCTCATTACCACCACCCCTCCCCCAGCACGTCCACATACAAACTTCAGTAGACAGAACAACTTGCAGTTCTTTGGAATAGGTCATGGTCAGTTTTGCATCAGGGCCTTTCTATTGATAAATAAAGTTTCCAGAGCCTAAAAACAATAACTCTATGCCTCATCTATCGGGTCTGGGGCACCAATAGATGGTGTCCCAGTAGGATACTAATAGCCCGCCCCAAAGAAATTCTGTGAGTAGGAAATGAGCATGTAAAGTAATTAGAACACTGTTTGACACATCGTAATACTCAATAAACATTAGCCACGTCTACTAATGCTGACTTCTCTCCAGGCCTTGGATTAATTCCTATCTTTTAGATTTTAGGCTCCTTGAGAAAGTCTTTCTTTATCACGTAAGGCTGGCTTACATGTTCCTTCTATGTGTCAGCACAGCATCATTTAATTCTATTGAAACCAAATTGTAATTGCCCGTGCACTGTGCGTCCCTCTAACTAGAATGTAACTTCCATGAGATTATGGACTGTGCCGTATTCGTTATTGTATTACCAGCATTTAGGGTCTCACACTCAGTAAATGATTGCTGAATAATTGAATCAGCTAGATGAAATGAACTTTGACTATCCTAATAGCTATGATATCTGGATACCACATCTCTTTAAGCAGGTAAAAGTACTTTAACTTTGTTTAGTACTTTGCAGGTTTACAGAGTGCTATATGTGTATAATAACCTCATTAATATATAACCTCATTTCCCCACCCTTTTTCTTTTTGAAAGATTTTTTTTTTTGATGTGACCATTTTTTTAAAAAGTCTTTATTGAGTTTGTTACAATATTGCTTCTGTTTTATGTGTTTTTTTCTTGGCTGGGAGACATGTGGGATCTTAGCTCCCTGACCAGGGATTGTACCCACACCCCCTGCATTGGAAGACGAAGTCTCAATCACTGGACCACCAGGGAAGTCCCTCCCCACCTTTTTATTTTGAAAAATTTGAATGATTACAGATCCTTTATCTAGATTTACCGATTGTTAAATTTTGACATCTTTGCTTTATCTTTCTCTCTATAAACATATATTATTTTTACCAAACCATTTAAGAATAAGTAGCAGATTATCAACATTTCAGCATGTTAGAAGACCCGCACCTGATCCCCACAAAGTCCTGTGATATAAGTGGGGCAGTGGGCATTCTTGAGGCCTAGGAAAGTGAAATGACCTGCTCAAAGCCTCAAACTATTAAACCTGGGGTTGCTAACTGCTAGTTTCAGGCTTTTTACATTGTGCAATTCCGCCTCCCTACTAAGTTCATTTAACGTTGAAAATGTTAGAGTTTATTGGTAGGAATAGACATATCACTCATCTTCTCTTAAACATTCAACTTGTAAATTCTGATGAGTTAGGTATCAAAAAAAAAAAAACCTTTGGAAAAGTGGCTAAGGAGAAAATATTCTCAGGAGAGTTCTTGTACTGTCTCCTATTTGCTTTTCTCAATTCTTTTAAAGAAAGAAAAATGGAAAAAGCTCTTTCTATACAATGTGAATAATGGCAGCATCTGAGGACGCCCATCCATCGGAGGGCTGGAGCTGGCTTGTATTTCGCAAGCTAGTTCTTAAAGCCATGATTAAGAACTACGTTACAGACATTCACAATTAAAGAAGTTAAAAAAACAAAGGCAATAAATATTGAAAACTCATTATTTCCTGATTATCATACTACATTTTACTATTACCTATGCTCCTGAAGTTAGGTCTACTGTGTTGTACAGTGGAGATAATATTGTGCCTCTCTTCCTAATTCCACACTTAGTGAATTCATGTGGGTAGTTTAAAATTGGCCACGGACGGAGGACTTATACAACTGATACTGACAAACACTACAAAACATCCCCCCCCTCCCCAAGAGCAGGTTGTGAAGTATTTACCAGCACACTACTAACCATGTCCCATTCACTTTTTCTTTTATGGATTCACTAATCACAACTTTCCTGAGTGCCCACTGAGTGTGTAGTGTGCTGCCAAGTGCCATCAGGGAAAAGGACAGTGTACCCGTCCGTCGCCTCCTCTTCCCTCTTTAGCCTCCTCCATCCTCCTCCCTAAAGAGACTATATTCATTTCTTTTTTTTTTTTAATTGGAGTATGATTGCTTTACAATGTTGTGCTAGTTTCTGCTGTGTAATGAAGTGAATCAGCTATATGTATACACATATCCCCTCCCTCTTGGACCTCCCCCCATCCCCCTCATCTAGATCATCACCGAGCACCAAGCTGAGCTCCTTGTGCTGTACCGCAGGTTCCCACTAGCTATCTATTTTACACATGGTAGTGTACCTATGACAAACCTAATCTCCCAATTCATCCCACCCTCCCCTTGCCCCTCTGTATCCACATGTCCATTCTCTACGTCTACGTCTCTATTCCTGCCCTTCACATAGGTTCATCTGTACCATTTTTCTGGATTCCACATATATGCGTTAATATATGATATTTGTTTTTCTCTTTCTGGCTTACTTCACCCTGTACGACAGACTCTAGGTCCATTCACATCTCTACAAATGACCCAATTTCATTCCTTTCTATGGCTGAGTAATATTCCATTGTATATATGTACCACATCTTCTTTATCCATTCATCTGTCGATAGACACGTAGGTTGCTTCCATGTCCTGGCTATGGTAAATAGAGCTGCAATGAACACTGGGGTGCATGTGTGAGAAAATATTTGCAGATGAAGCAACGGACAAAGGATTAATCTCCAAAATATACAAACAGCTCACAGAGCTCAATATCAAAAAAACAAACACCCAATTAAAAAATGGGTGGAAGACCTAAATAGACATTTCACCAAAGAAGACATACAGATGGCCAAGAGGCACATGAAAAGATGCTCAACATCACTAATCATTAGAGAAATGCAAATCAAAACTACAGGGAGGTATCACCTCACACCAGTCAGAATGGCCATCATCAAAAAATCTACAAACAATATATGCTGGAGAGGGTGTGGAGAAAAGGGAACCTTCTTGCACTGTTGGTGGGAATGTAAATTGATACAGCCACTGTGGAGAGCAGTATGGAGGTTCCTTAAAAAACTAAGAATAGAACTACCATATGACCCAGCAATTCCACTACTGAGAAAACCATAATTCAAAAGAGACTATATTCACTTCTGAGGCCCTTGTAATCCCTTTCTTTCTATTTTCACTTTTCTAGGTCTTTGTCCTCTGCTTTCTGTGCCTGCTTCCAGTTTCTCCCTGCGTCCCGCCACTATGTTCTTTAAATAACAGAACTTAAAGAGAAAGAATGCAGTGCTGTTATTCTTGGCATTGATAGCAAAAGAAAAGTACAGCTACATGTCTTAGAAAAATCTTTTGAGTAGTTAATAAATCTGTAAAATAATTTATAATTAGTTTGTATGCAAAATGATTCTAAAAGTCTCCTTCTTGGGCAGGCTAACGTTTTCTTTTTTTTTTTTTTTTTTTTTTTTGCAGTGCGCGGGCCTCCCACTGTTGTGGCCCCTCCCGTTGCGGAGCACAGGCTCCGGACGT